CAGATGCTGGGAAGGGGGAGCACACAGCCAAATGGCCAGTGCATGTGAGCTTCCCCACCCTACAGAGGGGTGCCACTGCCCTCAACCCGCCCCGGCCCTGGTCCTGGGACATAGCAGCGCTACATCTCTGCCCACCTGCACGTACCACCTAGGACTGGTGCAAGTACCTCGAGGGGTATGCATGCCCCTGGTTGACAACCCCTGCTCCAACAGATATGTTATAGACTAGACAGTGCCTTCCTACATATTTCATTCACCAAGCAGGAAAACCTTTCAATAGCAGCCCTTCTGGATGATTAAAAAAAATGATATATGTACTCCAGGCTGAGGGGCCTTAACAAATATGTCAATAATACAGGGCTTCATGGGGCTAGAGATATAACTGACTGGTGTTAAGAAAGAGACTAGGTTTAATAAGGGATGCAGGGAAAAACTTAACCCAAGGAGAAAAAGATGACAAAATTAGCTTTTCAATGGATTACGTATGAAAACAAAGTTTAACTTTAGTTTTAATAGCCAATTTATAATGTACATTGTTTTAAGAACAAATATTAAAACTGCTAATGAACATCAAATTTTGTCAAAGTAATTTGTTTTATACATAATTTTATTTCATTATACTACTTTGTTTCACCCTTTTCTTTTTTGGTCTCTGACCAAAGCTAAATGTGGAATGATGGAGTAAACAGCAAGAAACCATTTCCAGAAACAGCTTACAAAGGGGTTTAAAACACTATGCTGAGCAGCTTCAATTTCATTCTTGAATCTTTCTTGGCCTGCATACAACACTTTCCACATTAAATCAATTAGAAACTAGGATAGATGGCCTCATAGAAAACATGCTGGCTTCTGTTAAAATCATGCTGGCAAAAAACCCCAAAAGATTTGCCCAGAATTAGGAAATGTAGCCTGGCAAGAACTACTGTCTCTATTTTACAATTCTGACATACAAGTCAATACACATGACACTCTCATTAAATGGTAGTCATTACAGAGAAACGCAAAAGAAAAATGTTGTTCTCTTGATAAAAGACATAAAAGTAAGCCCAATGTTGTGTACAATATAAAAAAAAAATCATGCAATATTACAGGTTTCTCAGGAACTATCATTCTGGAGCCTGGTAACCAAGTTAAACACTGGCATTATTTATTTATACTCTGATAACACCTCAAATCCTCAGGCTAGGCACAATGAAATAACACACAGGAAAATAACAGTCCTTGCCCAAAAGAGCTTACAGTCATAATCAGCAAACACCACAGTGAAAGATATAAGATTTGAATGAAACAGTCATTTGGCCAGGTCAGGAAGATGATACTAAAGTAATAGGATGCGTACATTTCTTAGTAATCAGGATTATGTACCAGCCTACATGTATGCATTTCTCTGAAAATTTTAACAAATAACCACTGAAAGAAATAGCTGATGAATGAATAGGTAGAAATAAAGTTTAATTTAACAGAAGGAAATGTTTCAGAGCATTCTACAGAAATGCCTCCTAGAAAGAAAACAAAGCAAAAAGGAAATGTGCAACACTGAGAAAACCGTTTCAATTAACCTTACCTCAGCCTGGCAAAGTGCATGAAGACCTTGTAATACTAAGGCAGCAGGAGTAGCTTGATCAGGCTTTGTGCATTCATTCAGTACCTGGGAAATCGCAGCCAACATATCTGCTCCATGCTGGTAGGGCCTAGAGGAAAATCAACATTATATGAAGGTACAAGCGTATTTTTAAAAAATCTGCTTGATAGCCCAAAGCTTCTTGACATAAAAAATATTTCCAAGCATATATTTTTCTGCACAGAAATAACTCCTGTTTAATCTTCAGTGACTCTCTGTTTTTATCCAATCTTTTCATCTCTCAATATCCTGTTTTTAAAAAATGAATGCTACTACTTTGGCAATTCCCCTTGTTAATTCTTTAAAAACTTTGTATAAATACTTTCTGGCCATGATATATAGAGAATGTTTATGCTTTCTACGTTTTCTTTCACTATCCATTAACTCATTTCTACTGTCTTACATATAGTCTCCTTTGAACTTATAGCTCTAATTATAGTGTTTGTTTGGCAGCAAATGTTGTAGTTACTGTTCCACTGAGATTTCCCTTAACCAGTTTTCAGTTTCCTGCAAAATTTGCTTGCCACTTCCTGAAAAAAAAAATTTTGAATGAACAAAATTGATCATATTTCTTGTACCCAAAAAAGTAAAGTTGTTTTCTAAAGTTGCTTTTGTGTACATGCAAGATATGTGGCAAGAAATTTCCCAGGTTTATCGTCTTCACTGAGAATTGGCCTCCAAAAAACTTAGTGCAGGAGTTGCCAACCTGTGGTACATGTGCCACAAGTGGCATGGTCAGTATGTGTGTGTGTCATGTGACAGGTTGGGAACAGAGCAGGGAGAACAGCAGCAGACAGAACAGGGAACAGAAAACAAAGCAGCAAATTAAGGAGGCAGCAAAGGGCAATCAGCAGAATGCACAGCAGCAAATCAGGCAAGGGAACCAAGTAACACTTGGAGAAGGATATGGGGCTTAGCTTGTGATATACCTGACAAAAAGTTTGGCCCCCACTGAGTTAGTGGAAGAGAAAGAAACTACAGAGCTGGTGAGAAAAAAAAAACAACTTTTTTTTAAAAGTTTTGCATCAGTAGAGAAAGGAATCTGCATTAGGTTTTAAAACAGTACTGATGAGAACTATGTAGCACCTGATGTTCATAGATACAACCAGATTACGTTCCATAAAGTCTGACCTCCTTCATAATACCAGCCACAGAATTTCACCTAGTTACGTCTGTATCAAGTCTAAAATCTTGCATTTGACTAAAACAGTTGTTCTCAACATTTTTAGACTCAAGGGGAACTTCTACATGTGCCACTAATAGGCAGCAATAAACTTTGGGGTTTATTGCTCCGCCTCCATAGTATATTGCTCCGCCTCCACAGTATATTGCTCCTAGGAAGTTCCCAGGCACACGGTTTACACATGCACCCAAGAACAGCACGTTGAGCTGAATCGCAGAAGCCCTGGCTGGCAGAGGGCCCAGGGGATCAGCTTGCCAGCCTGGGGCTGCTCCATCTGAGCTCAATGTGCTGTGAAGGGGCTGGCTGGGGCACAAGGGTACTTTAGCATGGGGCTAGCTGGCAGGCAGCCCACACACTGAAGTACCCTCATACCCCTGCCAGCTGGATCAGCATCTACATATGCAGTGCTATGCATGAAAAAACTCCACAGCAGGCTAGGACCTGTAAATACAAGTCCTAGCCTGCTGTGGAGTTCATTAGTTTCATGCACCCTAATAAGGGTACACATGTAGACACTGAGACATTTACTGCACAGTTAATTAGGCAACTGCTCAGTAAACATCTTGTGTAGACTCATGGTACCCCCTTAGAAAATATGTTGGCTCTTAGTTTTCACTTGTTTTTTGACCACAGAAAAATAACAGACTAATTCTTCTGTTGCAAAGAACTCAGAAAGGGCACAACAGGTGAGAATAGTTTTTAACATCATGGATTTCTATCTGAAATCTCTGGGTTCATCTTGCACATCATGCTTGCACACCTACCAATGATAACATTGTTTCCCCTAGTGCCCCCCAGGATAACAAGGAATAACGGCCACAAGTTGTTGGAGAGTAGGTTTAGATTAGACATCCGTAAGAACTACTTCACAGTTAGGGCGGCTAGGATCTGGAACCGACTTCCAAGGGAAGTGGTGCTGGCTCCTACCCTGGGGGTCTTTAAGAAGTGTTTTGTTGCCTGCCTGGCTGGGGTCATCTGAGCCCAGTTTTCTTCCTGCCCAAGCAGGGGGTCAGACCTGAAGATCTACAAGGTCCTTTCCAACCCTACTTCTATGATTCTATGAAGTCAGGAAATGAAAAAATGCTGGTTCTTACAATATCCTTCACTCATTCGCACTGCATATATAGGGAGTGTTCTAAATGATGAATTATGCTGTTCAAGTGGATTTATTACTTGGAGTCTTAAAAAAAGAGATCTAATTTTGACTTAAAATTTTGACTTAAAAAATAAGTTTAGTTACACGTTACCATGGTAAATCCAGGAATCACTTGGTGACTGACTTGCACTATGCAGATGTTCAAACCTCTTGATCATAATGGGCATGTGTAGATGAAACAGGGGCCCTACACTGAAGCGGTAGGTTTTTAAAAACACTGTTTCAATTTAGGGTGAAGTAAACCCCTGTGTCGTGTACACCTGGCAGTGGGGAGGGGAGGGTAAGTG